AAACGTATCAACAGACCCTCCTCCTCCTCCTATTTTCCCCACAACAATCACCCTGCGAGGTGGGCTGGGCTGAGAGGGAGAGACTGACTCAAAGTCACCCACTGGGTTTTCATGGCTAACACGCAACTAGAACTCACCGTCTCCTGGTGATTGGCCCAAAGTCACCCAGCAGCTTTCATAGCTAAGGCGGGACTTGAACTCACCATCTCCTGCTTTCTAGGCTGATGCCTCACTTCATGACTGCACCTCTTAACAACAAATGTGATCTGTCATGGTCGTAAGTCAAGGTCTACTACCTCCAAGGGGCTAATAGCAACGGAACACAAAAACCAAAACCCTGGACATTTTCCTCAAAACTTTTGACAAGTTCATAAAATCCTTAGCTTAAAAAAAATCCTGCAACCTCAATAACTCAGCAGAATAAAAGGCATTAAGGCGCAAACTCCCATTAAGTACAATTTGTGAGCATCTGCTCGGCCTACTACGCAGTGGCTGTGTCCCTTGAACTGCAGCGCAAAAGGGCTTATGCTCCAGGTACTCAAACTGTGGATTTTTTAATATTCTTTTCGACTTGACTCTCCATCCCAAATCTCTTTTTCAACGGGACCAAACCACAAAGGGATCGATTATTATTCCAAAGCACCAAAAGCCACAAGGAATTTGGGAACCCTGCTTGCAAATCTGTGCCCAAGAATGCTTCGCGATCCCTGCTCTCCAAGTTACATTTTATTTTATTTTTTTTTAAAAGGGCAGCTGCTAAACCTGTTCTGGTAGAAGCAGCTTTCTCTATTCTGGAGCGAGGGAAGAAGAAGAAGAAAGAAGCAGAACTGCCCCGAAATGGCCCAGGCTTTAGTGAGATCCCAGGAAGGAGATAAAACGCCAAGGAAACAAAATGGGCATCATTAACTCGGCGCAGCCGGAATGAAAAGAGCACAAGGTTTTACCGCCGCCTCGGCTTCGCCTGGCAACCAAACGTCCAGATAAACATGTATTTAAAAAGTGCAAGGCAGAAGAGAGTGGAAAATTATAGGCCTGCAGGGCTGGAGGCTGGAGGGGGGGG